CTAATCCCATAGTGCCCTCATATAATTATGGACAAAAAAGATCTGAAGAAGAAAAAAGTGAGGACACGAGAGGAATGAACAAACCTAAGTTACTAAGTGTATTTATTTAAACTCCTCCAGTAAAAAGTGTTCATCAACCCTAAAATATAACTATAGTACTATATTTATCAAGAACTGGGCACATAAAACTTAGTTTACTTGAGCTTTAGCCAACAAATCTCGATGAAAATTATCCAAATGGTACAATAAAATGTTATAAGTAAAAAAATTATAGGATTCAAATTATTCTGGGAGTATGTGGGTAGCCCTGCAATTCTATCCAACTATTTACAGAATTTTGTACCCTTTCCGCTTTTAGAATTAAAATAATTTATCGTAATTAGATAAAAAAAAATTAATATGTTGCTTTATTCAAAAAAACTATTTTCACAGTGTAAAAAGAGCTACAAAAGCTTATATTCATAACAATTTCATTAAAACCAGTTGACTCCAAAACTACACATCTTTATGCAATATTTGTTTTTGCTTTGAATATATATATATTAAAAAATATGGTCCAAAACTACACATCTTTATTAATGCCTTAGAACCAACCTCTTTTAGAAACTATTATCCTAGACTTACTTTCCCAGACCTCCAGATCGAAGAAAGAGGTTAATTCTCCCAAGCTGCTTACCATAGAGGAACCATTTATGAATGGAACATAGATGGCAAAACCGAGTATCACATTCTTAACACCCTTCAAGAGATGACAATGGTCAGTACTGCTTACAAAACCAAAAATGACTCATCCGATCATAATATAACCCAATTCTTAGTAGGAGGATTTACAGGACAACTCAAAGGATAGTGGGACAACATCCTTACTCCTGATAAACGTCATGCCATTCTTCACTCTGTCAAGACCAATCCAAAAGGAACAACGATCCAAACAGAAGAAGGTGCAGATATAGAAGATGCAGTTGCTACACTTATTTTCTCTATCGCTAAGCAATTCTTCGGCAACCTCTCAATTGTTAGAAACAAGACCTCAGAAATCCTAGCCAACCTTAGATGCCACAAATTCCAGGATTTTCGATGGTACAAAAATGTTTTTCTCTCAAAGGTCCTCACCTGGACTGATTGTAACCAAGCCTTTTGGAAAGAAAAGTTCATTGTTGGATTCCCCAATCTTTTTGCTGAAAGAATTCGCAAGCGTTTTAGATCAAAACACAATCGCCATATTCCTTATGATTCCCTCACCTATGGCGACATCATCAGTACCATCATAGCTGAAGGAATTGTTCTCTGTACTAATTTCAAACTCCAACAGCAAATCAAGTATGAGAATTCCACTAGCAGAAAGGAATTAGGATCTTTTTGCTAACAATTCGGCTTCAAAAACCTAACCCCTCCTTCCAAACGAAAAAGTCATACCCGCTACAGGAAGCCTTTTCCCAAAAGATATGACAACAGGTCATGGTACAACAAGAACAAGCCCTCATTTGCAGATAAATACCTTTCCTCTGAAAAAAATAGACAGAAAAATACCCCTCCTCCAAAACATTTTCAAAAGAAGCCTGCCACTTCAAAAGTAGAAATAAAATGCTTCAAGTGTGGCAAGTTGGGTCACTACAAACGTGATTGCAGAACTAAACAGAAGATCAATGAGCTTGATCTCCCTGAAACCGTCAGAAGCCAATTGATGTAAATTCTTTTAAACTCTTCAAATGAAGAATCCGAACATGATAGCAATGGTATTCAAGAGGATGATTATCATGCTGATACAGATTATGATTCTGATCCAACCCATCTTTGGATGACCAACCTATCAAAACCAAATGCATTTGTATGATTACCAAGGATCAAGAATTCATGTTGGAACTCATTGACAAAATAGAGGATCTTGATCAGCGCAAAGAAAGCCTGATCAAATTCACCAACAGCATTAGCCAAAGGAACGACAAGACTCCCGCTGTTATACCAAATACTTACAACCTTACTGATATCTTTGAAAGATTTGGTACACAGCCCCAGATGCCAATTACGATTCAAGACCTCCATAAAGAAATCAAACAAACCAAGTAAGAGATTTCGATCCTAAAGCAAGAGGACAAGCCTTTGAAAGATTCCACTACTCATAATATTCTTACCCTCAGAAGCCAAATCTTTTTCAACAATCCCAGATAGATGCCTTAATACCTAAGTCCTTCGCAAAACTTGAACAACAAGTTTCTGAAAATCTTACCAAGGACAATGAGACTTACATCAACCTTCTGACCCAAATAACATTCCAGAAATGGCATATTAATCTTAAAATTGTGATCAACAAAGACTATACCATTCATACAGTAGCCCTCATTGACTCTAGTGCTGATCTCAATTGTATTAATGAAGAATTTGTCCTTACGAAATACTTTGAGAAAACCAAAGAACTACTTCAAGGTGCTAATGGTTCGCGACTCACTGTTCAGTACAAGTTAACCAAAGCTCATGTTTGTAATCAGGGTCTTTGTATTAAGACACCTTTCATCGTTGTCAAAGACCTCAATACCCCTGTTATTTTAGGAACTACATTTATTTCTCTTCTTTACCCATTCAAAGTTGATAGCCAAGGCATTTCAACAACTCTGGTCGGACAAGAAATTTGCTTTCCTTTTGCCCATCCTATAGACACCAATGATTTCAATACCATCAAGGATTCCTATGTTACTCAGATCCCAGTTGTCAATAGGATTGAGAGCAAAACAAAGCATTTAGATTTACTCAAACAAGAACTGACCTTCAAACAGATTGATGAACGACTCGATCACAAAAGTCTTCAAGACTCTATTCAAAGGTTTAGATCGAGACTAGAAAGTCAGGTTTGCTCTGATCTCCCAAACGCTTTCTAGCACAAAAGACAACACATTTTTGAATTACCTTATGAAAAATCTTTCAATGAAAAGGATATCCCTACCAAAGCCCGTCCTAGCCAAATGAATCAAGAACTTCTTGATTACTGCATGAAGGAAGTCCAGGAATTATTGAGCAAATCCCTCATCAAAAAAAGCCGTTCCCCATGGAGCTGTGCTGCTTTCTATGTCCAAAAGAATGCTGAAATAAAAAGAGGTGTTCCCAGGTTAGTCATCAATTACAAGCCCCTCAATGAAGTCCTTCAATGGATCAGATATCCCCTGCCTAATAAAAAGGACCTAATCCAACGTCTCGTTCATGCAACGGTTTTCTCAAAATTTGATCTTAAGTTAGGATTCTGGCAAATACAAATTGCTGAAAAAGATAGATACAATACAACTTTCACAGTTCCTTTTGGCCATTACAAATGGAATGTGATGCATTTCGGGTTGAAAAATGCCCCTTCAGAATTTCAAAAAATCATGAATGATATTTTTATTCATCTTACGAATTTTTCAATTGTTTATATCGATGACATACTAATATTTTCTTCTTCCATAGATGCACATTAGAAACATCTCAATATATTTGCTCAAAGCATCAAGCATAATGGATTAGTCCTTTCTTTATCAAAGTTAACCTTGTTTCAGACCAAGATCGGGTTCCTAGGTTTTCAGATCCACCAGGGAACCGTCATCCCAATCAACAGATCCATCCAATTTGTTGACAAATTCCCTGATAAAATTAAAGACAAAACCCAGCTTCAAAGATTTTTAGGGTGCCTAAATTATCTTTTTGAGTTTTTCAAGGATCTTTCCCTTCTTTGTGCTCCATTATGCCAAAGACTAAAAAAGTCCCCTCCCCCACGGCCCGATGAGTATACAAGAACAGTCAGAATCCTTAAAAGCAAAGCAAAAAACTTCCCTTACCTATCTATTGCTGATCCAGAAACCTTCAAAATTGTGGAAACTGATGCCTCTGAATTAGGATATGAAGGTATCCTAAAACAAAAGACAGGTGGCAAGGAACAACTAGTCCAGTTCGCCTCTTGCATATAGAACTAAGCACAACACAATTACTCTACAGTCAAAATGGAAATTTTATTTAATAGTTTTATGCATTTCAAAATTTTAAAGTGATTTACTAAATCAAAAATTTTTGGTTCGTGTTGATTGCCAATCTGCAAAAACTGTTTTAAAGAAAGATATTCATAACATAGCCTTCTCAAGAATGGGCTCCAACAGAAGTGAAGGCTCAGGTTCATTCCATGGCTCCCAAACAGATCTGGCCCAACCCAATGAAGATGACTGTTTTGATATTTTCACCCAACAGCTCCAGTAACAAAATTTTCAAAGAATCATCATTTTCTTTCAAAAAAGTTTCTGACTTTGGTCATTTAATGTCGCTGCATAGCGACAAAAATAAAATAAAATAAAATAAAATCTACAGTTTAAATTTTTTATTCAATAGTTCTCCATTTTTAGGCTTCTAGCATCTTTTGGTGCTCATGACAGACAAGCATAAAAAAAGTTATTAACCATCTGTTTAGGGATATTGACCAAAACTTTAGAAATGTCAGTGCAATTTACCCTTGAATTTATTAAGTGACGGAGAACCACTATCAACTCTCAATCTCAATCTATTATATACATGTTCTTTTATTTTATTTCAGTTCATTATGAGACAATTAAAGCAATTAATTTCACCAACTTTATCATATTTTTGTAAATCCAAAAGAGATGCATTAATGGTTTACCCCAACTTCAAAAATATTGCAACGCACGCATGCGGTAAACACATAGGTATAGAGCAGGAGATATAGAAAACGTACAGTATGACGCTTTCTTTTCTTCCATTATTGGCCTAATTTTAAACCATTCTTTCTTCACTTTTCTTTCTTTACTTTTTTAATGTGACATTGAAATTTGAATTTCACTCATGGGATTTGGAATTTAAACTCACTTCCCCCTATGTTAATTCCAGAAAAGGAAATCCCTTTTAATGCCAAAAAGTAAATCGTGCCAAATTATTTATATATAGCTTCACTTCAAATTTACGTGCACCAGAAAATGACTTTACAGTGAGTATTAATGGAGGACTTGCTTAGTTCAGTTTTTAGAAAACAGTTTTTCAAAAACTCATAAAACTATTTTTAAAGAACCATAGAAAATAAAAAAAACTGTGACAAACCAAGCAAAACCCTTATTGTCCAACAAATGTTCAGACGCTACTTCTGCAAAAGAGGATCAGCTCCCTTATATCATTCCTTACTGATTACCCAAGAACTGAACCCTCCCTTAGTCCCTACATTTTCCTGATATCCAATTTATACAACCACTGCAATACCCAAGTCCTCAATGGACCCTATCCATCATTTTTCTGATTGTAATTAAGCAGCCTTATTTTAGAGGTCAACCAACGCTTGCATCCTATGCAAGAAAGTCAGAATTAGAGAAAGAAGGAAAAGCAGAACATAAAACATTAATAAATGTGTGTGTGTGTGTACATAATCAGGCATATCACTTCCAAAAACAAAAGGGCAAACCTGAAAAGTAATTGCATTCAGAATGCCAGTTTAGTGGCAACTCCAAGAGAATAATAGAATTTCAAATTTGTTCAGGTGGGGTTTCAATTTACCGGTAGTAAATATTTATGACCCAATTGTAGACATAATACAATAATTATTGGGCCGCATAGTACTAAACACAGACAATGTACCTTCTTTTGGATCAATTTGGTTGGAGAACAACATGCTGAAAAAGCCAAACAACCAGAACACTTTAGTATTTATGTAATGAAAAGCTTCCATTCATTATCAAGACAATACTAAGAAAAATAACATCTTTAGGAAAAGTAAATGGGTGAGAGAAGAATAACTATCAAACATCAATAGGATCACATTTATCATTTTGTGTCTCCTACTTCACAAAGAAAGTCCCCTTACCTTAATCTGTGTCCTGTTATATGTGTAAGTGATGTGAACGAGTCCATCACTAGCTTGGATAACAGCAGGGTAAGAGAACTCCATTCCCGCAGTCTCCTCTAGTGTCATGACATCGTGCCACGAGTCTCCATCATTCATTGAGAGTGCAACTTTGAGTATGCCCCTGGAGATAGTATTATACGCAAGTAACAGACGGTCATCCTTCAGCTTAACTCCATCGATACCTGTTAATTACGCTCACATGTTATAAGCCATCATAAACATGCTGAAAAAATAACATCTGCATGGAATATATCTGTCCCTGGGAAAATAAAATCATTTAGTTCTGCTTTACACACTAATTAGATGCACATGTTATCCTTTAGAATGTGAACCATTACAAATTGAAAATGCATCACAATGAAAAACAAAATGAATTGATTCAAATGACCTTTAAGACGCATTCATGTCTATCATCCAATAGACATGCATTCTAATTTCTAACCAAGGGATAGACAAAAAGAATATGGCTTTAGCCACAACCTGAATTTGGGTTGGGTAGCTCAGTAGGTTTTGCATAACCCCAGGTCTGCCCACCATCATTCGATTCTGACATACAAACTCTATTGATGCCATCAAAGGATCTCAATAGAACACGCAAGGTCCTATTTGCAGTCTGGTAAGGAACTGGTTGAATCACACTGAGAGACTCATTCTCAATATATATAGGCCCATGCTTTCTCCATGTCCTACCTGAATCTGCAGTTATCTGTTTACACGAGTCATAAAACATGAGTTAGCCACCCACTTCACATGATCATTCAGCTAACATCACTAGGAAGCGCAAACTCCTTAATGTAGTTGAATTTTCATTACAACCTCCACCCAAGCCCCCCAAGAGTTCCAACTTTCCACGGAGGATCCACAGAGCAAGTGCCCATTTTCCAACAAGATAGGCTGAGGAAGAGAAAGCAACATGTATAATAACTGCGTTTTATAAGTAGCCATACAGTTCCAAACTCCACTACATAAATGGACATATGCAGTAATATCTTCAGTCATACCTTATTTTTTATGGGTCCTAATATACCCGGGGGGAGCTGTTCTCTCTCTGTCCAAGTGATACCTCCATCATAAGACCGCTTCATGCATCCACTCCATCTGAAATTCATCAAAGCACCAATAAGCAGTGCCAAAGAAAGCCATATAGATAGTTCAAAATTCTGCAGAATGTCAGGTTTTTTAAATTATTTTAGTTATGCCACATATCACTTCAGTTGCACCCAAACAACCAATTCAGTTTTGATTTGAGCCTTGTTTTGGAATTTAAATCATTCCATGCCATCTTCATAATTAAGAATTATTGTTCTTGGTGGTGTTCGAAACAACGTTATGAAGTTATAAGGACAATCTATTCAAATGTGAATAGTTGATACGGCTGTGCACCAGAGCTAGCTAACAGAGAAGGCCAGTTGACTCAATTGTATGGAATAAACAGAGGAGTGAAATGCAATAGAGTATAACCCAGCTAATTCCTATACCACACTAGGAAAAGATTTATAGGAAGCACAGCCATGAGGGAAATCGAATGAGGCAGACAAGAGACAAGTGTGACTCACTGCAGCAGTTGTTGGATTATTGCATGCAGGCCTTGAATTGAAAGCAAGTGAGAAATATCTGACCTTGCCAAGTGTGACAAATCAAAATAAACTAAAAGTAGCATATGGGTTAAGCTTTAAATATTAAGGCACCCTTGATAGTTGCTTATCAGACAAGTTGCACCCGAATCACTAATACAAGCATAATCTAATACTTTTACTAGTTCTTTTGGTATCAAAACCACCCTACATTTAAACTTGAGTCTTTAAAATTAAAACATACTTGATCATGATAGCTTTCAAATTTATGTTACAAAAAGAAGAAAGAATGCATTTCTATCTGTTCCGTCTAGAAAACATAAGACAATTCCACACACTAATTAGAATGACCAATCAAATATTATCTTCTCAATAGTTATTGATATTCTCATGAAACACATTCCTGAAAAACAAACCACGCACAAACCACATGTTTTGGAGATTAGTGCTCTTGCAATACCATCCAACTCTCCGTCTTGATAACATTCTACGCTCTAGTAACTTAGGCCTTTAGATTTATACAATGCTTTATAATACAACCAAAAGCATAGACAATTTTTCTCCACACAATAATCAGTGGATCGAAACCCTTCAGCTTTGCAGACATATATTCTTGCATAAAATTGTACATTGACGTGACAAAGGATTCAAATCAGGTATAGGACGTTATGTTATATACGATAATTACATTCATATTGTGCATTCGAAATTTAATATCATCATAAAAAAGAAGCAAATATCTGATATTTAAGAAAATCTTGGAATTATACTTCCAGTTAAGAACCAAAACAAAGTTGAATATTTGATAAGATGCATAGAGGACATCACAAATTACAATCAGTCAACAATTAGAAGACATTAAAATGTTGAGAACTTACTTTTGAACCTCTTGGCCAATTTTATAGAACAGAAGCAACTCATTGGATGGAAGCTTAAATAGCACAGGGTTCCACATTGGAACATTGTGTTCTTCATCGACAATAACGGGAAAATGCCAATAGCCATACTGCCCAAAAAGTTCACTGTTACAAGTTCAAAAATCTTCCAGAAATTGCTTTCCAACAAAACGAAAAATGAATAAAGGTTGCATACTCATATACCCAAAAATCAAGAATGAATCTATAGCTCAGTTACTAAACTGGATTGAGATGAAGGATCATAATTTTAATCATGAGCGCATGCCTGATTGAGAGGAACAATACCAGAAACTAGTAGCCAATTTTATGTAATTCATGTTAAACTGACAGAGGATGCAAAATTGACAATGCATGGTGGTGCAAACAAATGTAAATTTAACATACCAGAAATAAATGTATACATAAGGGCTATTACCAAGCATTGATTCTGCAATGCGGGGTGCTGGGAGGGACGGAAAAGGTAAGTATGTAAGTTAATGTTTACATAAGCTAACATTTACATACTTATCAAAAGCGTATGATACGAGTGCATGAAATCATCTTACTAAGCTTGCAATTTTCTTGGTCCAAGAAGTTTACCTTCTTCTACAACAAAATATGAAGTCATTATCCTTCTATGTATCTGCAAATTAACAGTCATGCACAAGGAGACAGAATGTGTTTTCCATAAAAACTAAAATTAATACATTAAAATTTTGATTACCTTGTATGTCTGTAACCAAATTTTCACATCAGGTGCTCCCTCTGATGTACCCCCAAAATAAGCGACCAAAAAATGATCTTTATCAACCTACACTGACCCAAATCGGCAACAATTTAATTGAATTATGTTGACGATTGAAGCATTAATGCTTAAATAATATTTGATTTGAATCACCTCAACAATTGTAGAAGCGTGACAACTATTGAAGGGAACAGAATTTGCAACAAAAGTGAACTCCTCCTCTATCAGGGGGCCCTGAATGCTATGGGCCTTGTTTGTATCTAATGCTTGAGCCATCCAAGTTGTGGTGTTTGCGTATACTTTACCTACTTTACTGTATAGAGTTTCGAAACACATTTTTAGGTCTTGTTGAGAAATTTAGTGTGCTTTTGTGAGTGTGTTCATGCATGAGAGAGAAAAAGAAAAAGAAAAAGAAAAAAGAGAGGGGAATGGATTGCCAACAATAAAAAGAAGAAAGTCTAATGAATTAAGGTAAAGTGCAATTTTATCATTTGACAATCAGTTTGCATAGTCAATTAATTTGATAAAAATTGGGGTTTGGTAATCATACCACGTTGTTTGTTTGTTTGTTAGTAAGGTGTGATATTAAATCAAACAATAATCAAAAGAAGAAACAAGCTATGTACCTGTTAAGAAGCAGACAAGTAGAATGAAACAAGTAGTGAGAATGCAATGCAAAATTGGAATTGAACAATTTAGGGGCAGATCGGAAACTGGTTCCAAACAGATCATGAAAATGAGGGGGTTTGAGATGGGACAACACCATGAACAAGAAGAAGAACAAAAGCAGCCGCAGCATCATAGAAAATCAGATATTTTGAAACCTTAATTAGCAAATACCCATATACTTCGTCTCTAGTATCTTCCATCAAGATTTTTTACTTTCTTTGACATGTTTGTGAACTGTCATAGTAGAGACAAATTATTTACCTCCTACCTAATTCATTTATATTTTATTATGTACTCCTGTAATAAAAGAATCAGGACCTGATAAAATGGAAGAAAATTGTGGCTCTCTCACGTTCTCTCTGTCTGACATCTCTGTAGTGTGTATTATCTTACTATTTTTTTTTCTTAGTTGTGTTTTAGTATCTTACTATAAATCTGCTGAAACAATTGAAGTAGATGATATAAAATAATTGCTTGAATTTGAGGAAGATAAAAAGCTTATTTGTGTTTTGTTTTGTGCATAAATGGTTATATACTATACCTACCCTTCACTTTGATGTTTACAAAATGTACGAGCATATTATAATGATAATGGGTTGACAGATAGATAGAGAAAGGTTGATGGATTCTACAACTTACCCTTCACTTGAAGGTGCTGGAAAATTTATTTTCCTTCGGCTATCTCTGATCTGATCTGCGCAATCTCAAATGCTCCAAGCTGCCAACTGCTGGTTTTAGAGAGAGACACAGAGCGCGTGTCCAGTGACTCCAGTCAAACGGAACCGACAATTGAAAATCTTTTCATATAAGATCAGTAATTTTTTTTAAAAATAAATCTTTAAATTCATTAATACATTATTCTTTATTTTATATTACAATAAACTACCTTTTGTACAATAATTTAACCTTTTTTTTTTCTTCTTCTAGTACTTTTTTATTTTTATTTTTTTAATCCTGTCAAAAGATATACTTTATTTAACAATCATCAGATATAAAATAAATTGCTAGAAAGCTTAACATTTTTTAGTTTCTGGATTCTTGTATTTTTATATATTGATAAGAGTAGTGATGGACCAGAGAACTATATGAAAGGGAGCGGTCTTAAATAAGTCTGGTATCATTAAAATTAAGTGGGAACATTTTTAAAATTTTAACAAAAAGTAGGAATATTTTGAAGATTTTCACAAAATTTACAAGTAATTTTGTAAATAAAAAAAATTTAGTGGGGGCATTTTTTTTTTTTTTTGAAAAAATAAATAAAGAATTATGATATTAATATGATTTTGTCATTGATAAAGTACCCCTTATAACATTTTTTTCCCACTCGAATTAGCAACGCCCTCGTTGCTGTAGAGCCACCCTACCTACTCGAGTGGCTCACCCGAACGCTTTCGGGGTCGGGCATTTGGCGTGGCACCGAATCAAGAATTGAGTCTGACTCTAACACCAACAGTAACGGGTGGACGCTTGTCCATTTACCTAACAACTTAAGCTGTTAGGTAGTGCTGCATACCTACCAATTTATACCCCTTTCATTTTACATCGGATCCGATGTGAGACCAATATCCCTTGTAACAATAAACCATTTAAATTTTTTCATCAAATTAGTTAATTTGACTTCTTTGTTTAGTTTATTTACGCTGAATTTGTTTATTATTTGTAATTTTATTGATTTTAATTATATTAATTGATATATTTTTAAGAAATAAGAACTGATTTGATTCAACTGGATTGCATTATATTTAATTATATATTTTTCTTTAGATCTCAATGATAAAACACATACATATAATATATATATATACACACACACACCCTCCATTTTAGTTGTTCATCTTTGGTTTTCTAACTTTTAAGAGGAGATACAATTAATTTCATTGTCCCCTTTTTAAATTACTAAGTTTCCTTTTAAACTTTAAATATATAAAAAACAAGTTGAAAGATTTTTGAAAAGTTAGACGGGTAATTATGAAAATATTGTATTTAATTTGTTTGACTTTTCAAAATGGACAATTAATTTAGGACACTCTAAAATGGAAAAAATGGGCTACTAATGTGAGAAAAGAGAGCATATATATATATATATTAGAAGAAGAAAAAAAAAAAAAAAAAAAAAAAAAACCTTAAAAAAATATAATGTAAACTTATAAAGGGTAGTTATGGTAATATAAAATAAAATATAATGTATAAGTTTGGGGATTTTGTTGTCATTTTTCTGAAAGGAAAATAAAAAAGTGGAGTGCAATACTATAGTAGAGTATCACGGGTGTAGTGTCCCGAATTTTTTGCCATTTTCTCTATTTTTCTTAATTATTATTTTTGAGCACCGGTTTGCGTATCACGTGGGTTTCAAATGTTATTTAGGGCATATCTTTGAGTTTAGGACTCTTGAAAAGCATTCTAGTTTATTTCACCATTTTTGGGCTTTCGGGCCCGGGAGGTCCCATGTGGGCCTAGTGTCACGGGCTTAGAGTTTCAGCACCACTGCTGCTCCCGTGCGGCACCAAGACGTTGTTTCCACTCTCGCAAGTACTTGGTCAGCCTAACTCCCGTGCACACCTTAGCCAACACATTCCCCTCGTGCGCTTACTAGTGTTGTAGTTGCCCTCGCGCCTCTCCTCACTTGGCTTGCACACTCACACACACTAAGGCACTTAAGTTAGCAAGGAAAGAACACTTCTATTACTTCAAAGAATGCTTTGTACAAGGCTAGCACTCAAGCTCTCTACAAGGCTCTCAAGACTCACTCTAGGACTTGTTGCCTACAAAATGAAGTCATCCATATATTTATAGGCATCCCCATCCCTAATGGACGGCTAGGATGCATTCTAACCAACGGTGGAGATCGATTCTCTAGAATCTTCTCCCACTTTCTCCACACTTCCATACTTGTCTACTAGTATCTACAACATTCTAGAATTCTCCATACTATTCCACACAATTCTGGAGAATTCTAGAACCTTCCACACAATTCTATAATGTTCTACACATTTCTACACATATCTAGAATCTTCCACACAACTCTAGACTACTCCGGAAGATTCTAGAAACTCCTATGCCATGTAGTCGCCATGCAGCGTCCTCCTCAGCGTCTGCGTGTCGCCTGCATGGCACAACCTCCATAGGCGGGGCGTGACATTCTCCCCCACCTATTTTCGTGATACCCTCGTCACGGTTTCTTCAGCTGACCCAGCCTCTCGCAGGTCATCAGCACTTGCGCATATGTCCTTAGCCCAAACGTACCAGCGCCTTTTGGGAGATGGGAGGTCCTCACGAGCTCCATCGTGTTGACTGCCACCTCTGGACTCTCCTTCCTGCCCACAAGTTGCACCATGCATGCGGCCTTGCCCTCTTCACCTCCAAGTATCATCAATGCACCAAGGCATGGTAGTGGCGCGGCATTGTTTCTGTCCATGAACTCCAGCCCCAGCACCATGTCATGGTCGTCCATCTCCGCAACCTGGAAGTCGGCCTTGCCCTTCCATCATTGCATGCATAGCTCCACCTCCTTGCATACTCTACTCACGCGTGCCTCCTCGGAGTTAACGTCCTTGATCCAGCCCTCCGTTTTGCGCATCTCCAAACCAAGTCGTTGCGCCTCCTCCGGGGTAATGAAGTTGTGTGTAGCGCCCGTGTCCACCAACGCTTGCACGGCTTTGCCACCAACCTGCGCATCCACATAGCGTACCCCAGCTACCTTCTTTGTTTTGCCCTTCTTCTTGGTGTCATGCGTCATGCTACTCAGCATCTGTATAGCCCCCATACACCTATCTACATCGCTGCCCGCATCGTCCACCTTGCCCTTGCCCTTATCCTTCACAAGGGCGTTCATGGTCTTCTTGTTGGAGCAGTGTCGCAATATGTGCGGCCCTTCGCACAAGTAGCACTTCGGCTCCCACTTGCCCTTATCGCGGCGCTCCCCTTTGCCACTAGCCTTGGACCTCTCTCCATGGTCCTTGCCCTTATCATGGCGTGGGCGTCTCTCCTCATCGCTGTATTCATCATCACTTGATTTGGGCGAGCCCCTTTTCTTAAAGCGACGGTCTCCCCTACCTTTGCCGTGGTCCCTCTTGGGAGACGTGGCCCTCTTGTCATAGCGCCTAAAGTCTTTAAGGCGCTCCGCTATAGCCATTGCGGATGCCAAGTCTCTAGGCTCCCTCCTTCTCAGTTCTGTGGCTACCCAAGACTGCAACCCATCAATGAACAAGCACACGCGTTGCCGCTCCGGCATCTCTGGGATCTCCAGCATCAAGTTGGAGTACTCCGTCACATACTCCCTTATGCTGCCCTTCTGCTTCAGGCGCCTTAGGTTGATTATGGCGAGGTCCTCAACGCACTTAGGGTAGAACTGCCTCTTGAACTCCTCCCATGTATCAACTGCTCTTGCGCCCCTACCGGTGAAGCGCTGCCTCCACCATAGAGCAGCGATGTCTGTGAGGTACATAGTGCCTGTCTGCACCTTCTCCTCATCATCCTCAATCTCCATGCACTCGAAGTACCGCTCCATGTGCCAGAAGAAGTTGCCAATCTGGCGCGCATTTCTCACCCCATCGTACTCATTGGGCTCCGGTGCCTTCTTCTTCCTTGGCTTCACCACGACCTCGCGCGCCTGGGAAAACTCCTTCTTGCACTCGGCAATCTCCACGCGCAAGTCGTCTACCAGATCATGCAAGTCCCTTTCCTTCTCTTGCGCCTTGTTGGCGATGCCATCAATCAGCTCGTAGAGCTCCGCCATCCTTCTCTCGAGCCTATTAAACTTGGTCTCTGTGTAGACCAAGTGTGTGGCAAGCTTCTCCTCCAAGCTCTGCTCTAAGATGTGGACTTAGTGGTCTCCTCCGCTAGCCATGTCTACTCCAACAAAGCTCCATTGACGAACCTGCTCTGATACCAACTGTTACGGGCTTAGAGTTTCAGCACCACTCTAGCTGCTCCCGTACGGCACCAAGACGTTGCTTCCACTCTCGCAAGTACTTGGTCAGCCTAACTCCCATGCACACCTTAGCCAACACACTCCCCTCGTGCACTTACTAGTATTGTAGTTGCCCTCGCCATCTCCTCACTTGGCTTGCACACTTACACACACTAAGGCACTTAAGTTGGCAAGGAAAGAACACTTCTATTACTTCAAAGAATGCTTTGTACAAGGCTATCACTCAAGCTCTCTACAAGGCTCTCAAGACTCACTCTAGGACTTGTTGCCTACAAAATGAAGTCCTACCTCTATTTATAGGCATCCCCATCCCTAATGGACGGCTAGGATGCATTCTAACCAACAGTGGAGATCGATTTTCTA